TCACCTTAGCCTCAAGTGTTCAATAGTCACATATGGTTACTGGCTACCACACTGGACAGAGAACATATATAATATTTCCATCACGCAGAGTGTTCTATTGCATGGTACTGCTCTAGATTCTGTTATAATTATGAGGTAGTATGTACCACTGGCTTAAGAAAAAATTATGGCTATCCTAGCCCTCTGGGAGGTTGAGATGAGAGGATGACTTCAGGCCAAGAGTTGAAGGTCAGGCCTGAGCAAGAGTGAGACCTTGTCTCTATACAAGATAAAAAATTAGCAGCGCCTGTGGCTCAGTGAGTAGGGCGGTACCAGCCCCATATACTGAGGGTGGTGGGTTCGGACCCGGCCCTGGCCAAACTGCAACAAAAAATAGCTGGGTGCTGCAGTAGGCACCTGTAGTCCCAGCTACATGGTACACTGAGGCAAGAGAATCACCTAAGCACAAGAGCTGGCGGTTGCTGTGAGCTGTGACACCACAGCATTCTACTGAGGGTGACAAAGTGAGACTCTGTCTCTAAAAAATAAATAAATAAATATGTAAATTAGTTGGGTATGTACTTCCAGCTACTTAGAAGGCTGAGGCAGGAGAATTGCTTAAGCCCAGGAGTTTCAGGTTGTAATGAGCTATGATGATGCCACAATACTATAGCTGGGGAACAGAGCAAGACCTTATCTTAAGAAAAAAAGAATAGGCTTGGAGTCTGTTGCTCAGCAGCTAGGGCACTGGCCACATACACGGAGCTGGCAGGTTCAAATCCAGCCCGGGCCTGCCAAAAAACAATGACAACTATAACCAAAAAATTGGGCATTGTAGCGGGCGCCTGTAGTCCCACCTACTTGGGAGGCAGAGGCAAGAAAATTGCTTAAGCCCAAGAGTTGGAAGTTGCTGTGAGCTGTGATGCCACTATACTCTATGGAGGGTGACATGATGAGACTCTGTCTCAAAAAAAAAAAAAAAGAATAGAAAGAAAAAATAGTGGAAAAAACTTGACAGGGAAAATTCCATTCAATGACTTTACTTTTTTTTTGAGACAGAGTCTCACTATGTTGCCCTCAGTAGAGTGCCATAGAGTCACACAGCTCATAGCAACCTCAAACTCTTGGGCTTAAGCGATTCTCTTGCCTCAGCTTCCCAAGTAGCTGGGACTACAGGTGCCCACCACAACGACTTGCTGCTTTTTGTTGCAGCTGTCATTGTTGTTTAGCTGGCCCAGGCCAGGTTCGAACCCGCCACCTTTGGTATATGTGGCCGACACCATAACCACTGTGCTATGGGCGCTAAGCCCAAAGACTACTTTTGTCTGAATTGGGCAAGAAATGCTGTTAATCAGTTTTAACTGGGCAAAAGCTACATGGGAGTAAAAGAGGCCCAGCCACTAACACATGGTTTCTATATACTGCTCTACAGACTGACCTTTCAGGACTCATTTCAGACAGCTCTCACAGAGAAAAACCAGATGGGTGTCCTTGAGGAACTGCTGCCAAATGACACATACCAGCTCTTCCATCAGTGTTTGACAACCGACCTAGACTCTTAGGCTGCAGCTGCCATGCGTCCCTACATTCCAGCCCCTAGCAGGAGATGACAACTAACTAGTCCTTAAGCAGCAGCAGACAACTATAAAACTAGAATTTATTAGTACTCCCATAATAGGAACCACCACAAAGTTACAGATTCTCCACTGATCTTTCTGTTCTATTTAAGGACAGAAAATCTCTACCATTTCTCTAGAAGAACATGGACTCTTCAATTCCTCTTATGACAGGAGAGATAGTCTCCCTTACCCTCACCTACTTGAATAGATGTCACACACACACATTTTTGGAGACAAGGACAGAAGTAAATCCAGGAGGTCCATCCAATTCAGGGCCCAAAGGCTAATACAGAATCAAGTACAGATTTCATTTTAAAGTACCTGAACCATACAAAGTCAGGAAATAAAATAATGTGAGTTGACTGTACCTTGGAGTCCTACTTCACTATGACCAGAGGCAAGCTTACTTTAGTCTACCAACCCACCACCAAGTGATTTGTACCGACTACTCCTTACCTCCTTGGGAGGGCTTGGAGGAGGTGGCAGGCATCTAGGGTTGACAGCAGGTTTGGGGGGGATATACTCAGTCACAGCCATCAGCTTCTGTCGCTCAAAGTGCATCACACGCCAATGGCGGGTAACAGCCTTAGAACCATGGCGTACAATCTGGAGGGTAGGGAGCTGGCCTGGGAGAAAAGACAGCAACATGGAAGCCCTGGTTTGCTCCAAATGGAGAAAAAGCAGACCCTCTGAGCAGAGACCATCACTACTCACAGGGCTACACTCAGCACAAGTGTGAGATAAGGAATTGTCTGCCTAAATCCTGAATTCTCAAACTTTCTCTTCTCTTATGATGAGTGACCTTAGGTCAACTGCTTGATCCCTTGAGGCTTCCATTTCTCCAGCTCTTAGTTAAGTGCAGAGAAAACAAAGAAGAAAGTATTTTGAACACATTAAGAGCAGTTCTCAACCTGTGTGTCA